GAGGCTCACAGGTGAGGCTATCTAGTAATGCCATGCGCTAAATTTTGTCGAGGATCGAACATCAGCAATCACAAGAAAAGTTAGTTTATTCTACTTTTGTCCGAAATCTGTTTGTTATAATCCATCACACATGACCATAAATGGAGGTAGATAGACTTGGACAGATAGATTCGTACCGTTGTTAAGCTCCTTTGTTGTCATTGTAGTCGATATAGCTCAGGCATTAGTGCCACCGCATCACCAATTCCTTTGTCGTTTTGTTTTCCTGTCTAACGTTACTCAACAGAGCTAGAAAGCTTCTCCACCTGCCATACAGATCCACTCCTCTGAGCCGCGCGAGCACTCTGCATGACAGTGTGTGAGAGTACAGCGGAGAACAATTGCATATAGACTATGATTTCTGAATATTTCGTCTTGCGCTGAAGTTCCAACGTCATTTTAAGCGCAATATTATTTTGAATGGATTTTCCACACAGTCTGCGCAAAGAAACTTCCAGAAAGTTTCGTTAATGACTCAATTATAACTTCAAACAGAATATTGAATGTCGTCAAGTCAACGTCTCAATGCAGAAATGAATTGTAACGCAAATTTACAAAGAAATGAACAGCTATCACTGTAGAAATCAAGATAATCAAAGCGTGACATTAGTTAAATGCCTAGAAGAATATTACCCGTGCCGTAACTTCGACAGTATGGTTCAGCAATTGCGGAAGATTTGTCTGCGCTGTTCAGTTTTCTTAATAAGTTCCGGACGCAGAAGGAACCTAAATACAAATCGCCATTGATGTGATCGAGAAACAACGCACTAAAGGACCTGAGTTCAAACTCTGCTCTGCCACCGCTTCCGGCATGCCTCCAACTTTGAGGAAAATCTTAAGTCCAAATCACTGAAGGAGAACAATTTAAATAACATGCGCTCGCTACCTCTTCAAGACTGCTTTCTGACAGTCCATAGGTGATGACGCCAAGCTGTCGAAGCTTGGAATCGAAATCAACAAAGAAATCACGAAGAGACCTGAGGTCATCGGTCGGAATCAGAAAGCGTATTTCTTGACCAAACGCTTCGGTCACGCTGGATTGAGGCAGGTGTTCGAAAACGAACCTGATCAGGTTATCGTTTCGTTTCATGGCAGATGCCTTCTGGCTAGCGCAAATTGGCGACGGCTCGGCTTCGTTCTCGATGACCTTCACAAGGAAGTATGCATTAAGAACACAGACACCTCCTGATTACCGGTAGAGCGTTCACACACGTTAGGTAGAAGCCAGGACTAAAACGCTTTTTCAAAAAACTGCTGGAACCTGCACACTGCAGTTTGCCGTCGGAAATGATCGCGATACGGTCGCCAAGAAAATCAGCCTCGTCCATGAAATGGGTGGAGAGAATAACCGTTCTTCCTAAGAAGCAAGCAAAGACAGTTCAGATTCGTTATTTCATACGGAAGTTACGTTGTCATAATTTATTCAGAGGAAAAGCGAAACAATCGAGTAAGCTCGAAAAATGCTACCAAAAAAGTCTCCTCTGTGTTCACCCATGTGGCACGAGGAATATTATTTTCTGCATAGTCGTTAATATCGTCCAATAAACATAATCAGTAGCTTGCCTGCCCATGAACCGTCACTCCCTGTTCAGAAGGTACACGGCATCATGAAAAACCTTCATAAGCCGTTCACTGGAGATTGACCGGAACACTGAGCTAATTTTTCCCGTCTTTCAAGTTCAGAACTATTGAGTTTGGGCAGAGCTGATTGAAGAGAAACGATTCAAGAGTCTTTCAAACCTACTCACAGAGACCTCGAAAGCACATCGCATCTCTAAATTGTGCCTAACAAGGGCGTATTGGATCACCGTCAAAAACCTGGCAAAAATCGTAGGCAAGTACATAACCCCGATGCTATAAAGTAATTACCGTGAATATTATCAATGACTTCTATCCAATAATTATCCGTGGAATTAATTATAATTCGTGATACCTACCCCAGAACATCTGGGTCCATCTGCTTGCTTATGGATATTTACAGAATTTTTTGGTACTCGAAAACGAACTTGTTCAGTTCAACTCAGAGATGCAGTTTTGTCCTGCAACACGAGAGCTAATACACCGCAGAACTGTCTCTTGCCTAAACGGTTCGTCTACGAATCTAGAAGCAATCAGAAGTAGGAATTCAAATATAAAGCCTTTTCTAATTCAGTATCTTTAAGGGCACTGGGTCTAATGGCCATCTCCTGCATATCGTGAATCATCATTCGATGGCACCGGAGTAATTACGCTTACAGCAGCCCAAAGGAATACACTAAATAACAATAGCAGCATTGACATTCACACAGAAAACATTATTTTCGGTGGCAGAACACAGTAAGACTTATGATGAGTGCCATCTCAGGCATGTCAGGAACGATCTCAACGCCTTACAGCGATTGGATAGACTATGGTTTATGAGAGCTCACGCAAAGGCTTACAACACTTGTAACTGCTGAAGACAATGCCATCTCATGTACGCATTATTGTGTGTGTATTTGTGTCTTCAAGCTGTATGCATGTTGCTGTCTCGTCCAGTTGCATTTATTACTTTTTGTTGTTGTACGTCTAATGTTTTTCACTGTTGCTTTATTTTACTTCAATTTTTTCCTATTCAGCCTGTTTTAAACAGCTGTGATATCGACGGGGGTGATTTACCTGAAATGATCGTTCCATTTTTATACATTTGGCTATCCCAAGTGAGAAAATAATTTATAGTTTCCCTTGATTTACTGTTTATGTCATCTTATTTACTTGTTGAAAGGTGAGTGCTTTCGTGGTTATGTTAAATCAGAATTTCAAGCCTATCCTGTTGAGAAAGAGCATCAAAATCAGAGCGGAAGAAAATGTATTCTGATTAGTCGATAATATTAGTATGTGTTCAGGTGTCTGTTTCTCGTCTACTTGCTTAAGCAGTGATCATTATGACGCATTCGTTTCACAAATGCCGCGGCAGCGGCGGTTGCCGTTATGAAGACAGCAGGCAGTATTTATTTTCTGATATAGCGCAGAGCTTCAAAGTAAACGTCTCGGAGGATGGGCATCCACAATATCTTTAGGCACGAAAATTTTCCATAAATCCTATCAGGATATTAACCTGTGCAAATACATGGTAGGAGTCTTCTCTAGACTCCAGCTGTCTTCTACGGAAGCTCAAACTCTGACAGAGGATCGGGTACGCTGGCACTGACTGACCGTCTGGTTCTGCGACCCGAAAGGAGACGCGTTCAAGGAAAATGAAGATGAAGAAGCTTCTCAGGACGCTGCTAGCAGGACACCTTCAGCAGAGAATTTTAGTGGCTTTATGTGAAATGATTCTGAGGGAAAAGCTTTTAAAACCCGGCTAGAAGATTTCGAAAATAGGATCTCTTATTAATAAGACACAGAAGCACAGTTTCATGATACCGTCCACATTTTGCTGACAGAGATTTTATTTGAAGGATTGAGCAAAAGTGGATCGACAGATCGATTGAGAAAATTTGCACAAATTACAATATGATAATGTATAAAGAGAAGGAGGGTGCGTCGCAATCCGTTCAAACAAACAGAGACTTATCATTTATGCAACATTTTTGGACAGAACAATTACTTAAGGGGACCTTATTAATCCACAAAGAAAGCAAGATGAAATAACTTAATCAATTCATTTACTTTCCAGAGAGAGAACGATCACTGATGGTCAGACAGAACAGAAAATCCCTTCGGACGATATCAAGAAACTGGAAACAGAACACACTCACCTCGATGGATGGTCAACACTTTTGTAATCCAGGGTCGTAACGTTGCTGTCAAAACTCGTGCCTCTATATCGTTATGCTTCCGAACAGCAATCAGTATTTGTGAATGTCACTGATATAATATCTGAAAGCTGCCGGTATTGCAGGGCAATCCAGTGTCTGACCACAGAGTTTGACGGAACGGTTAACTGCTGTGGATCAACAGAAATTAATCTGCATACAAAGCACACCTGTTCTCTGTTCCAAAATTAGTTTCCAGATGGAACGCCGAAAGTAAGGGTCAACGCCGGCCGTTGGTTCATCCAAAACTACCGTCTTTGACTGTCCAATAAAAGCGAACATGATCGATAATTTGCGTTGCATACCTCCTGAAAAAAGTAACCCAATTGCGTGCGATACGGCAATTTGCGTAAGAACATAAAATCTACTCGCCTGAAAGATTCTCAAAGAATTCGCATCCTTTCGACGACAGACCGGAACGTTCCAGAAACGATTCCACCTCTGAATCGACACTGCTTGCTGGGACGTTTTTGAGCAAAGCACAGAACTTCATTTGCTCTGCCACAGTTAGCCTTAAAAACATATATATGAAAATCAGTTTTAATTCAGCTAAGTTTACTGCTGCGATACGTAGTAAGAAAATTTTGTTTTCGAAGGTAACAAAACGGTGTTACATGCAACAAGATCACCTTAAGAAAGTAACCATTAAAACTTTCCTCGATTTTGAACTAAAAATCAAAAATATTACATTTTTCGATTCATGGATGGAGTCCAATTAAAATACGCACAACGAACAAAGATGTTTTATTTTTTCATACAGAAGCGTTTCGTCGCAATAACCAGCAACATTATCAAGGTTCAGATACGCAGTAAAAATATTCTACATCTTGAATGACTGTCTTTTTCTGTTTGGCGGAGTCTAATAGTGACCTGCTATCTCTAACAGCTCATGTCACTTTTCAAATGCTAAATTCCAATACCTTTCACTTTTCATGCAACTATAAATAAACCATAAAATTATAAAATGGCTTTTAACCGGAGGGTCTGTAATTTAGCTTCGATTGTAGCAAGCGATCAGCCTAAAGGAAATGTGATTGGTGAGTTAAAGGACATTTCGCTCATACATGCTCATCAGCAATGAGCATGTCGTCGTTACTCATGATCTGAATAAAACTGACTAAGACCTCATTCAGTGGCGAAATGGGCTGTAACAATTTTGGAACCAAAATTTCTTGTCACGTGGCAGAGAGAACTAAATTTAGAAAAATCGTCGACAGAGGGGATTTTACTTAGACGAAGTCAAAGAAAGTGATTCCTCACCGCTACAGCACGGCAGAAAGTATTGTTCTCATAAACGAAAACACTGGTTTTGAGAAAAGATTAGTGCTGCCGGTCGCTCACGGCATCACACAGCCAGATAGCACCGTGTTCCTATAATGCAATGACCGCAAGCGCATCAACGGATCCCCTTAGAAGACGCCACGAGGAACATTTTATCGATCAGCAGTTTCATCTGATCAAAAATAAACATCGCTTATAACACTTTTACTCTTTATGCCTTGGGTACTGTTTTGCATCACTTTATCTCACCATCTCTAAGGAAGACAGATGATTTTGGTATCTGATTACGACACTTGAGCAAATGAAAATTATTCTGATTGAAACTAATGTGTCACAAATAAGCGCTAAATTCCTTCTGTTTCTGATACCACCAAGCACAGCTAAGTTACCAAGCATAGCTAAGTTACAGGCAGAATATTTTACATGTACAACAATGAACGGATTGTATTATAAGAGATAATAATTCTTCATAA